TATGAAATTCTTCCTGCCTCAATCCTTCTCTGATTCAAAGTGTCTGCCACGTCATGTAAGTCTTCACTCTTTTCCTCAATAATACCTATAAACAAATCAACTTTTTCAGGTAAGTACTTGTTGCATTTTCACCTTTTCATTATTCCTTGATTCTTCTCATGGAGGATGTTTGAGATCTCATGTATCTTCAACCAATAATTTTCAGGAATTAAAGAATCTTATAACTCTTTGTGGAGGAAATTGTTGCGACAAACCCTGGGAAATAGCGGGTGCGCAAAAGGCGTACACGATTTTCATGCCAAGATCGACTGACTGGAATGCCGCTCAGCGTTACGAAGCGAGTATGCGTGGTGTACCGGTGAGCATACTTTTATAAAGTGCTTTTAAAACGTTGTGCAAGTTTAAGCCAGGAATTTTCTGTGCAAAACTATCAGTAACCACTTTGTTTGGTTGCTCTACACTTTTTTAAAAACAGTAATTGCTAGAGTAATTTTTTAAAAATCTAGGTTTTTTGTTTTGATCACAATATATTAAATATAAAGCATTCGTATCATCTTTAGTTTTCACAAAACCCTTTATATGCTTTGATTCCTTATAGACAGAATTTGTTTGAATGCAATTGAGTGTGTTATTGCTTAAGGTGCTCGTCGCAGATTGGATTTTGGATTCAATCGCAGAGTTTCGTCTCATGCCTATAGACGCTTACAAAATTCGGCAGCGATGATGATAATGCATTGCCGAAAATTCACAGAAGCAGCTACAAAGTTTTTGCATGTCTATGTTTGAATAGCTGTTGTATTGATCTTTATGTAGATCATTTGAAATAACCGAATGCGGTGAGGACCATTTACCACCATTACCTATTTTCGCGGGCGCTTTTTATTTCCGATATCTTGAATGGCATTAGACGTGTATTTTCCTAAGCGAAAGGTTTCAAAGTCTTTGTTAGTCTGTTCCAAGATTGCTCATCCTAGTCACGATGTTCCAATTCTCCTTTACTCTTAATCAATAAAGTGGATCATCATTCCGCTGAAAGGGACATGGGCGGTGCGGTCCACTACCCATTGATTGACTTTTATTCGTTATCTTCTAAAACGTAATAATCAAGATATGCTGATCTCTCCTATTTAGCCAGTTCACATCATGCCACTGTGCTTGGTTGTTTATTACATCGTTTGTTCATAATCAATTGCTTATTAATAAGTGTTAACGAAATCTCAAAACTTCTTTAGTGATTCTTTTAAGAATTGTTCATGATGTTTGTAAAAAAAAAACCAATCCTTTATCGCTT